AGAAACCCTGTCTTGAAAAACCAAAAAAAAAAAAAAAAAAAAAAATCAAAAAATATATTTGTCAAATGGAAATCAAAAAAGCTTTAAAAGAGTCAGTGCCTGCGGGAACCTCAGGCTGTGGCTCTTGCGGCCTAGCCACTGCTGGTAGCAGCAGTGCTGACTAGAATAGCCATAGCTTAAAAGGCAGCAACCATTAGAGAGAGGACAACAGTAGTGAGTTCCACCACAGAGCTACAGAGTGAGTCCCTTCTCAAAAGCCCTGACTGTCTAGCCCATCAATGCAGCTACTGGAGATGCTAACACAGGAAGGCCACAGACCTGAGGCCTGCTTGGGCTACTTAGTGAGACTGTCTTAGAGATAAGCTCAGGGATAGAGCCTTGCCAGGCAATTTCCAGGCTCTGGGTTCAATCCCCATAGACACCAAGAAAACAAACAGAAATGGCTTTCTGTTTCACTTCTCATTAGAATGCTGCCAAAATGGCTGGCTTCTGAAGTTTTCTAACTGAATCCAAAAGTGCAGAGGACGTCCCCAGGAGGGAGGGGCAGACACGTCACCCTTTCAGTCAGGAGACAAGGCAAGAAGATTAGGAGTTCAAGGCCAGCCTTGGTTAGGTGATCAAGTTCAAGGCCAATCTGGGCTATACTGCCCCAGAAAACAACATCCTATACTTACACACACACACCTGACTTGACTCCTGGTCACTGAGAGGGCTCTGCCTCCACAGTGTGGAAGGCCTCTATGGCTTCAAAAGCAACCCCTTCCTGCAGGCCAAACCTCACGATAGAACCCTTTGCGTTAGTCACTATGACAGCATTCTCTTCTGAGACACTGAAGTACTTGGACGGGACAAAATAAGCCCATTGGAAGTCCGAAGAGAAACCTGCTCCTGTCCCTGAGACAACACTTCCTGGCATAGATCGGAAATCTCAAAAGCCAAGGCTTCCCCCACAGTGGCCACAGTCTCCAGCTCTCTCTAGCCATCTGCCTCCCTCCTAGAGAGGAGCCAGCTTATGTTCCCAGCTCGCTTCCAACACTGGGACCCCCATTAGTGGGCAGTGACCCATCTGGTCCAGGATGAGACCCTGGCTCGGGCATAGTCCTGGAAACACAGGCAGCTGGCCGGACATTCATAGGCAAGGTTTTCTGGAGTGGGAAGGCTGCAGCCTCTGTAGGCAGGGCATGGCTGGGGCTGGCCTGCTGCCTACTGAGGTGGGGTTGGCTCATTTCTCTGAGGTCTCCTGCCTCTGCATTTCCTGATTCTTCAAGAAGCAGGGACTCCTCTTCTTCACCTGATGATGGGGTACCACCGACACTGTTGCTTCTCTGGATTGCCCCAGAATCCTGCTTTGCAGTGTGTTCTGGAGCATTCTATTCAGGAAACACTGACGACTGGGCTGGGGGCAGCCCTCTGGGCTCTGCTACCTGGGAATAAAGAGCTGTCCTCCTGACATCCTGACACAGAAGAGCAGGATCTGCAGAGACACTCCTGGCTTTCAAGTCAGCAGACGCCATCACCGACAGCAGCTGGCCCACAGGCGGCACACTTCCATCACTAGCAGGAGCCATTTCCCCACAGCTTCCCTCAGAGCAGGGAGCAGGGTTCTCAGTGGCTGCGGAGGCAGAACCTGAATAGTTGGGAAAAACAGCAGTCACACACTCATCACCACGATCGGCTGGTCCAAATGACCTTCCCTTAGAGAAGCAGTAATGCAGCTCTCTTAGCTACTTGGGCTGGGCAGCAGGTTTTTATTGGCTACTGTATCTACTCAGAAAGGTAGATTTTGTATTAAAAATCTTTGTGTTCAAAAGAGTTTAGCAGGCTGACTTCACTGAATGAAAGAAGAGCGGGTTTCTGGAGGGGAGCTCAAGGGTAAGAGGGGCCTTTCAAAACAGATCTACAGACAACCCCCAGCCCAGCCCCACCCCTGGAAAAGCTGAAAGGTTATTTCCAGATGACCTATCCATCTGGAACAGCTAAGAACCTTGTCTTAAGGTCGAGGACCGTCACTGGGCCCCAGGAATGTAGAACATATGCAGATGCTGAAGGACCATTTGCTGAGAGGAAGTGAACTGTGAGGCAGATCACTTAACTATAAAATGAAGAAGCTAAAAAAGAAAGGTGACTGAGGAGGGCGGTGCTCCACACTGGTGCCAGAGGGGTCACTGTTCCCACCCAACACAACTGCCTTCTCCTAGGGCAGAGCTGCAGGGAAGTTCTAAAATGAGCAAGGCCTCTTCCACTGCAGACCCTAGCGTCAGGCCAGAAACCAGACAGTGCTGCTAAGTCTTTGTAAAGACATGTGAGAACTGGCAATGCTGTATGTTCAAAGTACCTAGTAGAGGGTTCTGATTACAGCCAGAACTAAAGAGAAAATGTCTTCTTTTCAAGCGTTAAGTCTCACACATTCAGGGCAGCCACGTCTCAGATGCTAAGCCACTGATACATGTGTCCTTGGGACCTAACTCTGCCCAACCTCTCAGACCAGCCGGGGTCTACTAGCCTGAGACACCACTATGAAGTAACTCTTAGTTAATAAAGGGCTCTAGGAGACCCCAACACCTATGACATGGGCATCAACATGGAACAATAAAGTGTTGGAAGCTAGAGACAAAATCCAAGAGACCAGAGGGATCTCTCAAATCGGGCTGAAGGGATGCCCAGCCCCTAAAAGTGATGGACTTGGGTACATCTGGTGCCTTGGGAGCACTGAGCATGGGGCAACCCACAAAATATGTGATTTACCCTTGCTGGCTGGAGCGCGTGAAGACCCAGGCTTCTGCAGACATTCACTGATGGTGGCAGGACGGTCAGGGACATCTGTGGGCAGAGCTGCTGTTCGGGCCTTCTTCACTGTGGCCAGCCTACAGAGAGTGTAGAAAAAGCAAAACGGCATCTTCCCGGAACGGCCTCTAGGCCAAGGAGCTGTGGCTGAAAGGTCAGATCATGAACCAACGTCTACACAGACGTCAACTCTGCACCACTTACCACCACAGCCTGCTCCCTCTCCCTCTTCCGTGCACTGGTTTCCTGCACCTTTCCGTCCATTCCTGGCTGGAGCACTCAAGTGCACTGTTGGGTGTGTCTCTTTCTTCCTCAGGCATTCTGTGATTCCTAATGATCTGGCAACCTTAGGGGAAACAGGAGAAATAAGCTCTGCTTAGAGTGAGAGTGTGCCAAGTGTGTCAGTTCCTGTCTACACCTGAGTAGAAATCCAAGCGGTCCCTTTGTATAGTGAGGTGCAGTTAACAAGGAGAAAGACGGCAGATGCAAAGGTGTGCGGAGCAGCGAGGGTGGAACCCAGCCTCACCAAAGCTCGCAGGATCTGTCAGTGGGGGTGGACTTGAACCTGTCTTCCTCAGTGCCTACCTTACTAATGCTAAGGCAACCAAGGTTCCTTTCTTGCCAGTTGTTCCTCTTTTTACCCTCTGTTTCAATTATGGTCAGGCGGTGGTGCTGACCAGCACTCAGGAGACAAAGACGGGTGGATCTGTGTGAGTTTGAGGCCAGCCTGGTCTACAGAGCAAGTTCCAGAACAGGCTCCAAAGCTACAGAGAAACCCTGTCTTGAAAAATCAATTCTTAGTGATCTTTTTCTCCCTCATCTAACTCCTTATGCTCCCCTCATCTGGACACCTGAGTTTCAGCTGCCTTACAAAGTTTTTATGAAGCTCAGTGTGTCTTCCATCTACAAAACACACGTATGTGTACACAATATATGCATGTATATCTAGCAAATGTAAAGGTGTAGACACAGCTAATGTCCTTTACACTGGACTTTAAAAGGAGAACAACCATAGGTGTAAGACAGGGTGAGGACCAGTAGGAAGGACAGCAGAACATGACTAATGCAGACAATTGGGCTAGGTGAGTATAGCCCTGCCCACGCTAAACAGTGTCCCTTTACAAAGTCAGTCACAGCCACTACTCTAAAGCACACACAAAATAAAAATAAATCACAGCATGGGTGACTATTATCATATATGGGGAATCTGCAAAAGGCTTTGCAAAATAATCCAATATGTTTATAATGCATAATTAAAAAAATAAAATTCAGGGGGCTGGAGAGATGGCTCAGTGGTTAAGAGCATTGCCTGCTCTTCCAAAGGTCCTGAGTTCAATTCCCGGCAACCACATGGTGGCTCACAACCATCTGTAATGAGGTCTGGTGCCCTCTTCTGGCCTGCAGACATATACACAAAACAGAATATTGTATGCATAATAAATAAATAATAATAATAATAAAATAAAATCCAAAGCCTTGTTAAGAATATATTCAGAAGCCGGGCGGTGGTGGCTCACGCCTTTAATCCCAGCACTCGGGAGGCAGAGGCAGGTGGATCTCTGTGAGTTCGACAGCCTGGTCTACAAGAGCTAGTGCCAGGACAGGCTCCAAAGCTACAGAGAAACCTGTCTCAAAAAACAAACAAAAATTAACCTGTAGGCAAGACTGTGGGGAATTTTCCTGATTAAAGGTAATGTGGAAGAGCCCAGATTACTGGGAACGTTAACCTGGATGGTATAAGAAAGCAGGCTGATATATAAAAATGATAAAGAAGCTGAGGAAGAAATCGGAGAAACATCACCCTTCACAATAGCCACAAATAACATAAAATACCTTGTGGTAACACTAACCAAAGAAGTGAAAGACCTGTTCGATAAGAACGTTAAGTCTTTGAAGAAAGAAAGTGAAGAAGATACCAGAAAATGGAAAGATCTCCCAATGCTCTTAGTTAGATAAAATCAACATAATAAAAATGGCAAACCTACCAAAATCGATCTATAAATTCAATGCAATCCCCATTAAAATCCCAGCACAATTCTTCACAGACCTTTAAAGAACAATAATCAACTTCATATGGAAAAACAAAAATCCAGGATAGCCAAAACAATCCTGTACAAAAAGGAACTTCCAGAGGCATCACCATCCCTGACATCAAGCTCTATTATAGAGCTACAGTAATGAAAACAGCTTGGTATTGGCATAAAAACAGACAGGTTCACCAATGGAATTGAATCAAAGACCCGGATATTAATCCACATACCTATGAACACCAGATTTTTACAAAAAAAAAAA